ATTCAATATTCTGAAATTTTACCCTCTGGTCCTAGACTCTCACACAAGTGAGAAGGTTGGAATAAATAGATCCCTGGCTGGTAATGATCTGATTGGACAGAATATAGATTTGGGAATAGGAAACGGCATTTGATGATTTTCTTGGGAGACTTTTTGAAAATTTTACTAACAAAGTTGATGAAGCAAAACTGATAGACGTAGTTTATTTAGATTTTCAAAAGGGTTTTGATAAAGTCCTGCACAGAAAGGCTAGTTAGAAAGTTAAAACATAGGAAAAGAGGTAATGTACTGGTACTGATTCATGATTGGTTGACAGACACAAAACAGATAGTAGGAATAAATGGTTTGTTCTCATATTGGCAGTCTGTGTCTCATGGGGTACACAAGGATTAGGATTTGGCTGCAGCTGTTCACAATTTATGTCAATAATTTGGAAGTGGGGACCAAATGCAATATTTCCAAATCCATGAACAATACAAAGCTAAGTGGGAATGTGTGTTGTACAGAAGATATAAACTAGCTTCAGGTGAGGTTTAGCAAATGGGCAACAACAGGCAGAAGCAAAATAATGTCAAAAGACATAAGGGTATTCACTTTGGTAGGAGAAATAGATGGACAATATTTATTAAATGGTAAGAAGTTGGAAAGTATGGATGTAGAAAGGGATCGAGGTGTCCTTGTTGCTAAGTCACTGAAGGCTAGTATGTAGGTGAAGCAAGCCATTAGGAAGGCTAATGGAATGTAGCCTTTATTGCCAGTATTCCAGTACAGTAGTCTTGCTTCAATTTTATAAAAGGTTGCTTAGATCACATCAGAGTTGCGTGTGCAGTTTTGGTCTTATGCAATGAAGGTTCACCAGATTTGTTCCCAAAATGCAGGGACTGTCCAATGAAGACAGCATGGGCAAAGTCTGCCTGTATTCATTAGCGTTTTGAAAAAGTGATCTCATTCAAATCTACAAAATATTTAAAAGGGTTAGATAGTGGAGATGCAGTAAGATGTTTGCCCATTTTGGGGAGTCTAAAGGTTGAGGGTACAATTTAAAAATAAGTGAAATGCCCCTTAAGTCTGAAATGAGGAGAAATTATTTTATTCAGAGGGATTGTGAACCTTCTGAATTCTATACTGAAGAGGACTGCAGAATAAGTGGATGAAACTTTGATTATGTCTACACGTTGATAGGTTTCTGATCATTAGTGATGTACAGAGTTATGGGACTGGAATGTGTAGAAGGAACTGAAGCGTTCCATGAGTTACGATTGTATTGAACACTGGGCAAGTTCGACGGGCTGAATGGCCTACTCCTGCGCCTACATTCCTTGAGGTGGTACAAACTCAAAGGGCAGAACGAACCTTCTTTGCAGTAAATAGCCCCTATTTGAAATTTGACCATTGAAGGCGGTCTCAACTTCCCTCCGCTCACCATCAAAACGTACGAATTCACACAGAGCCGCGTGAACGAATCGTGCTGCGCCGAAGGATGAGATGCATACGACTTTCCCACCATGTAAATAAGAAAATACTAACAGCCGGAACCTACCAAGATTTTGGTCCAGATACCGGAGGATACAGTGATTGATAGCTGGTTGGCGAATGGGAAGCGAAACTCGCCCAGTGGCGCGATATTGACTGAGCGGCTGACCAATGGTTGCAGTGGAGCCCGCCCACCATGTCCGGTGATTGGCGCATGGCCTCCCACAGTCTGCTCTTACACCTTTAGTCTATCGGGCAGCTCGTTCAGTTTGTTTATTCAAATCTAACGGCAGGAGCTGCACGTGCGGTTGCAGAGCGCGAGAGGTTTCGGCTTTCACCGGGTGAGTAACCCAACTCGAGCTGGGGCTTCAGTGCTGCGTCCTTTATTTCAAAATAAACGCAACGCGCACACACAGACACAAAACGGAGCGATTAAAAAAATTAACATGGGCGAGGAAACAGCTATAACTCGCAGCGTAGATGCATCTATTAGCAGCCTGGACCGAGGGGGGAGGGAAGATGGAGGTCTGTTTGCTGGAGGGCGGGAGGTAGACGAGAAAGATGGAGGGAAGGGAATTTCTCGAGGAGGGTGGGGAGGAAAATTCGCGAAGGATGGATGGAAAGCTTGCGAGAAAACATCGAGGAAAAATCGAGAAGGTGGAGCGGCAGGTTGCGCGGAAGAATCAAGAACAACGGAGGAAGCATCGAGAAGGGCGGAGGAACAGTCGGGAAAGATGGGGTGGAAACTGGGAGGAAGAAGCGAAAAGGACGGAGGAACAATCGACAAGGATGGAGGAAAAGGGGAATTTAAATAGTTCGAGAAGGAGGAAGGGCAAGAAAATTCCTCCTGGTGGGAGCAAATGGCCCTAGTTGCTGGGTGGTATAGAGGCACTGGGATGGAGGGGAAGAAGCTTCGAGAAGCGGCTGAGGTAAGGCGGAGTGCGTTTTGATTGGGAAGGGCGGAGCGGTGTCCGGGAACCAGGGGATGGGCGGTAAGAAAGCAAACACCGGGAGGCTGGGAAAGAGAAATCGGTAAGAAGGCAAATTTTAAAGTGCGCGGTGAAACCGCCTTCCCGACACTGTTTTTCGTGAACTCTGTCTCGGGAGCCATAGCCGCTCACAAAGATCACGTTTTAATTTGGTAATGGTAAACAAACACACAAGGGCATCACTGTCCCTTCCATCTGCTCGATCTGAAAGCTATTAAAGACAGTAGACCTTGGAGGCTCCAGATGTCTGGTTCACCTTGCTGTAAAACCGAGGTTTATACTGGTCCGTCCTCCATTTTAAAGAAATTAGCCTGACGTTTAGGGCTTATTTGAGTTTTGAGGCTGTGTTATTTCTTTGACTTCCCAACTCTCCAAAAATGATGTTTCTGGGGAGGGATTGAGGGATATTTCAGATTTTTCAAAACTGCTCGAAAATTATTACCATTTATAGAATTGTATCCCAGTGTTTTACATCTCCAGCTGAGACAAAGTCGTGGTGTCATTGCTCTACATTGCAAGAATCATTTATTAACGACATAATTCTGTAAGAAATCTAGTACATCTTTCGCTTCTAATTGTTTTTACTTTGACATGTGAAGGAATATCAAGAGCTTTTAATCCTCTGTTGTTAAACCAAATAGTGGCTGACTTGTCTCTCAATTTCATTTAACCCACATTTTTTTCATGCATTGCCCCTGTTTTAATTGTCCATCAACCTCATCTTGAGCATTTCAATTAACAGCAGTCCAGTAGTCTTTTGACTCACTAATTGTGTGGATTTGCATTCCCAGTCCCAAAGACTGTCTTCCTGTACTGGTTCTTTCTGGAGAACTATAGGATGCTCTCTAGTTTAAGGTACAGGCCATTGTGTATTCCAGTGTCTATTCTACTGGGAATCAAAACTGTCCATTCCATATGATTCTTTCAACAGAGTATCAACAAATACTATTCTTTGCTTGCCAGGTCCAGTCCATAGCACTAGAAATTGTAGATTACTACCCTTACTACTATTTCTTAATTTGGAATTTAACTTTTTGAAATTCCTTGGTAGAATCTTAGACCTGTTTTTAAGTATCCTGTTGATCCCTGTATGAAACGTGATGCTGGCTGCTCATTCTGCTATTCTAGGACTTCTTGATCCATCTCCATAAGCTTGTCTGGCACCTGAGAAATGCCATACAACTCTAGATCATGATCACAAAACAATTTTATCTTAAACCCTTGACTGTGGTTTCCAATTCTTCAACTTCCTTGCAACCCACATAACCACTGCTTCTTTCTTTCAATCTGCACTATTTTCTGCCATGAGTAACCACTTGTTGCTCACTGTGGTGAAGTTGTTTGGTGGTTAACCTCCTCTTTAGAAACATAGGAAATCTTAAATGAAAAAGCATGGTGCACCTAATACATCCTATGTGATCCTATTAGTTGCATAATTCAAACGGTAAATTATTTTTGTAACCTCTTTATCCAAATCACTGGTATCTAAACACCAATTGCCTCAATTTCAGCTCAACAGATGGTCCCCTTTCTATCCTCACCTGTGGTTTCCTACCCTAACTGCTGATGGTCACCCAGTCTTCTGTGAATATTTTACTACTAGCAACCTGTGAGGTGACAACCTTCTGGAATGCCTGCTCCAGAAAACTTCCTCCCTGTCAAATGTTGCTGTGTGCCCAGTTTCCCCTCAAGGCCTGGATTGTGGTTAGCTACCTTGGACTTGTGCTATTTTCTATTGCAAGATAAAACATTATCATCTTATTTCTGATGGAAAAAAAACTAGCAAAATAAACAATGTTTATTCAAAAACCAGCCAATTGCGATTTTTTTTTTTTACATATAATTTCATGGTTAAGCAGATGTTGGGTGCTCCAGCCAATTAAGATGGTATGTGAGCCGTATCCTCCTGTTGTATCTTCTGGATTTCTGTTGCCAGGAGCAGTTCGAACTTGGAGTAAGTGTGACGAATGCTTCATTTCACATGGGAGACGGCAGGTCCAAGTCACGGTATGAAGAAAGGACCCTGTGGGATTAATTTTTCACATTTCTCATTTTGGATGTATGGTCCAAGCAGTGACAGATGACTTAAGATTTTGGAGCTTTTAATTTTAAGCATGGAGGGATGCTAATTGAAGTACGGTAATTGACTTGACTTTCGTGTTTGATTTTAAATGCAAACTTGTAGCTCTAGTTTGAACAAAGTCTGTTGTGAGCCTTTCTGCAGGTCAGTTAAAGATGAGATCATGTGTCACTCCAGTGCAACTGTGAACTGTTAAAAGGTTCTTAGTATGCCAGCAGGTGATCTCGTATATTTTGTTCCTAAGATTCGAGTTTGAAATATATAGAAAGTGCATTATGATAAGTTTTTTGCTCTGAACATGATTAAAAGTTATTGGGACAGTCCAAATCAAAAATTGTGGCCTCTCCTATTTCTGAAACACCAATATCGATTGGAACCTCTCAATACAGCAGGCAAAATACCAATCTTTAACTGTTTGTGTTTGTTAGCGCAGGATGATATCCTGGCCAATATTCTTCCCTCAACTAGCTTATTAAAAGTAGATAACTGTTCTTAATACTTTAATGTTGGTGCTTGCTCTGTGTAAATTGACTCATGTTTTCTATATCACACAGCAATTTTTAAAAAATGTCACTGACTCAAAGTGGTTTGGAAACATCCTGAGATGATGAAAGGTGCAACGTAAAGTCGCTTTGCTCACCTTTTGTTTTGGTTTGACCAGGTGGACCAACACACCATTTTGTTTTCCATCACATAAATTAGACCACTTGGAAATACGTAGAGCATGTTAAAAACACCATTTAAACTGTCTGTTTATTCAGTTGTGCATTAGCACTTGAACAAGAAGCTTATTCACTGCAAATTGATGAAATATTAACTGTTGTTAGTTTTTGAATCAGTCCAGTTATTATTTGGTCTTTTGTTTCTCAGCTTGCTCCCTGTTTTTTTTTCTCTTGGTACTGAATCTTAATCATCTAGCCCTAACTTGCAGAGCTGCTGTACTACTTTTCGTCTGAAGATATTATTACCTTCAGATGCTCACTTTTTCAACTGCTTCAGCCAGTTGTTTCCTTCTGGTCCAGTGCTTGTGTTTCACTCAAACTTGAGGCAATGGGTTATTGGCTGACAGCACACCAAATGGTTGTTTGATCCTGTGCAAAGTTGTGATTGCAAATAATAGGTGGTGAGACCTTGCCTCTAAGCACTGTATATCCCTTACCTCAATTGAATGCTCTCTAGGCTAATGCACAAGTTGCTACTATGCTTTTTTAAACTTGGCCTTTGCATTCGGCCTGCGAGTTTCATTAGTGTCAAAGCTTAGAATAAACTGTGTGAAGCTATACTGTACTGTGTTTGACAAATGTAGTATTTTTGAATATGGAAAGGATAAAGTGCAAACTATGGTCAATTCCTCCTGTTATTAGTGAGTATAGAATCAATATAGTAACATGAAAATGTTTTGACTACAGACATAATTGCAAAGTCAAATTTTAAATTGCAGTGTGTGATACATGAACTAGATTTTTACATCAATTTCAAGAGTTTACAGCACAAATGATCTTATTTAAAGCCCAGTTACTTTTAGTTTACAATAGTTCAAGTTAATTGTATAACTAAGAACAAGGTGAGTTCTATTCCCTGATAACCTTTTGGGGAAATTGTGTATTACACATGCAACAATTTCAGAACCATTTTGATTTACTTCAATTTAAAATGCACCAAGGTTCAAAGTTCAGTTACAGTAAATAGTCAGCTCATCTTCAAATTGCTACACTGTCGACATTGATTCAAAGAGTGATTAATTCAAAACTCTCTAATCAAAAGTATGTGCTACATGCTGTACTTTAGGTTGTGTGCCTGACTGAATGAAACTGACTGCATTCTTTGCAAAAAAAAGTTGTGATCCTGAGATTGACCCATTTTCCGTAGCTGAACTGCAGTGCTCACTTTTCAAAACTGCTGGTAACTAAGATGGTGAGTGTTTTTAATGGAGGTACCAATTTTTAATTGATCTGTAAAATGTATATTACAGAAACTTATAGGTTAAGCAAAGGAAGGTTATTACTTTGATTCTCTAGAAGCAAATAATATAATTCTCATGGTAATGGCAGTTCTATTGGTAAGTGAATTATGATCTTTCAGTAGCACCTGAATTTGCTTTAACAAGCTTCTTTGATACTTATTACTGTACTTCCAAATTGTTTGTTTCAAAATGTAATTTATATAAGCATTAATTGTTCATAATTTTCTGCAATATTTATGTATATTTGTGCACAGTAATATACTAATTTTAAAAGCTGTAATTCTTGACAATGCTAGAATCTGTCCTTTTTAGTAGGAAACAGAGTTGACCTGAGCTTTCCTGAGCTGTTTGAGATTGGTAAGTGACGCATAGAAAAGTTATCTTCCCGGGTTGTTGCTTCTAATGATCTTTTGAAATGTTGATTTATGGAAACGTAAATTTAGTTACTACAGAGCTGAAAACAGAGCTGCTTCTGTTTGAAAATATTCTTACTGCTGTTTTCATTACTTGGAGGTGAATGTTACATTTTCACAAAACCAGTGGAATATAAGAACTTAACAGATGACACCTAACACTTTCAGTTATGGATTATACTGAGAGATCTTGGGAATTTTGCATACTGTTTTGGGAATGTTGACAAGCATTTATAATCTCCTTTTGTGGCAGATGTTCTTACACTACCAATATCTTAATGCAGCTTGTAACATCCAGTTCGGTCAGCTTGCAAACCAAGGCTGAGTCCTACGGAATGACCAGACTGGTTATGATGTTGCAACACAAGATAGAGAAGCATCAGACTAAAATAAATCAAGCTAAACATCCTCCTTTAGAATTTAGCCTTCAATTAAAATTTGTGGAACTTTTAGTATGTGGTCTTGGGAATTAGGATTGTGAAATAAGTTGGTATAGAAACAGTTAACATACAAATTGCTCATGATCTAACTGGCTTATCCTTGCCCCCACACTCTGTCTTTTATCCTGTTGAATCTAATCTGTGTGAATAATTCTAAATGTAAAATTGATATTTCACGGAAGAAAACAAATATATCCGGTGTAGTCATCTCAGTGATCTTTTTAAAAATGTTGCATAAACGTAAATACTTTCAAAGTACATTGTTTAGTTTCAGTTGTGTTGAAACATGGAATCTTATTGACAAGGTATCTAACATCATTTTAACACTACCTAGATTTTAACCCTATTATTTGTTCACACTAAGCAATAAAAGCTACTGTGCTCACAATTTGAACTTGGTAGCAGTATGCAATGTTTAATTTTGCACAATTGTACATTTTTCTCAAATCTTGAGATTAGTAGCTAAAGATAAGTAGCTGGAGTCTTGTATTACCTTTTGGTTACAATTCTTGATTGGGGCCATCTTGTCTTTTTCCTGAGAACAACCTCAGTTTCGCAATATGTTCACGAGCTGAAGTTCCTCATTGCTTAAGCCATTCTCAAATTGTCTTTGTTTTTAAAATTAAGAGACTAAATACATTCTGGGTTACATAGCAAGACAGGTTACAACAAAGCTTTGTCTAACACTTGTTAAATCATTTTATTGTTGTGTAACGTAATATCATTTGGAATCGCACTTCAAATGAGGCATAGAAGGTAGAGAGTTTTTTTTAAAATCTCCATTATTTGAGATGTAAAATGGTACAGTCAGGTTAGAGAAATATCAGAATTAGTTTAGAGATTGGGGTGGATTTGATTCCTTCTGTGTTCTTATAGTTCAAAGATGAGGGAGTAAATAGTCAGGTCTGTTAGTTGATTTTTTTATTTTATCTGTTTTTCTAATCGGTCTTGTTCAGATGTTATTACACACTTCTGAAGCAGGTGAGACTTGAACCTGGGCATCCTGGTTCAGGGACACTACCACTGCAACATAAGAGTCCCTCTCCGGTGGGACCTGAACCCTTCTGTTCTGGCTCAGAGGTAGGGGCACTGCCACAAGAACCTCAGGTCTGTTCATGCTAACCCTACCAATTAAATCCACCTGCTGCTAATGCAACTTTAAAAGGCAAAAAATTGATACTAGGGAAAAGTTGTGAAGTCATTCCCTGATGTAAAAAAAAGTAATCAAGCAGGAGGTGGTCTTATACATGGTGCAATACATTAAGTCTCTTTCTGTGCCACGTTTCTTTTTGCCCAATCAATCCATTTATGCCCAACTTGAGCTTCTGCCCATCTTTTCTGAAACATATATCATAATCCTGCATTCTCTTCTCTCTCATACACTTGCTTAGCTTCCCTTTAAATGCATCTATAGTATTTGCTTCAACCACAACTTATAGTAACGAATTCCATCTCACTAGATCTTGGGTAGTTTTAAAGAAGTTTCTTATGAATTCCCTTCAAATGGAAAGATCCTTGCTCTCTTGCTCGCTCCCTCACTCCATCCTTTAGAAGCTTTTTTTAATTATCAAGGCTCCTTCTATTAAGTCAATCCTAGTGTTTTTGTTTTCAGGAGAAAGGTATCTAACACTGCATACTATTCTTCCTTTTAGTAAATGCCTGTAGAAAGCCTTCTGTGCACACACTCGATACCTCCTATGCCCTTTTCTTTCAGAATATGATTTCTCAGTTCTGTTGTTTTGGAAATTAAGTTTAGTTAAGTGCTTAGTTTTTCTTTAAATGGGCTTGTTAACATGTGGCTCAATGATAGGATGAGAAGGTAGAATGGTATTGTCAGCAGACCGATTCCGCAGAAATCCTGGGTGATGCTCTGGGGTCTAGGGCTCAGATCCCACCCAAGGCTGCTTGTAGAATTGCAATTTAACTAATAGATCTGGATTAATGATACATAATTATATCTTGCTTCACAGGATGAAGTCTGTTGTCCTTGCCTGGTTTGGCTGACACATGACTCCAAATGCCCACCGATGTGGTTTTCTTGCCCAAAAGTGAATCTAACCATCTCCCTGTGACAACAATGGGATTACCAGTACTGAATTCCCATATCAACATCCTGGGGGTAAACATGGATCAGAAACTGAGCTGAACCAACTGTGTAACTACTGTGGTTACAAGAGTAAGTTGGAGGCTGGAAATTCTATGCTGAGAAACCCATTTCCTGAGTTAACAAAGCCTGTCTGCCTTGAATATAGTACAAATCAGGAATGTGATGGCATGCTGTCTACTTATTAGGGTAAATGCCTTAACACCGTAAAAACTTGATACCATTCAGGCTATTGATTGGCTACATAAGGTCTGCTAGAGCATTTCATGCAGCCTGATGCCTGCTTTACTGGTAGATAAATTAGCAACTCATTTCATAAGGTTCTAATAAACTTTTTTTCTTTATTCATTCACGGGATGTGGGTGTCGCTGGCCAGGCAGAATTTATTGCCCATCCCAAATTGCCCAGAGGGCAGTTAAGAGTCAACCACATTGTTGTGAGTCTGGAGTCACGTAGGCCAGACCGGGTAAGGATGGCAGTTTCCTTCCCCTAAAGGACGTTAGTGAACCAGATTGGTTTTTCCAACAATTGATTCACGGTCATCATTAGATTCTTAATTCCAGATATTTTATTGAATTCAAATTCCACCATCTGCCGTGGAGGGGTTTCGAACCCGGGTCCCCAGAACACTGTCTGGGTCTCTAGATTAATAGCCCAGCAATAATACCATTAGGCCATCGCCTTCCAATTAATGGTTACATAATTTTACATAAAAGGATGGTTCGGCAGGAGAAAAGTGATTTAAAGTGAATTTTTGTTTTTTGCCTTTTTCATGTTATTTGAATCTGGCGTTTCAAAGATCATAAGATATAGGAGCAGAAGTAGTACAATTGAACCATCAAGTCAGCACCACCACCATTCAGTGAGGTAATGAGATAATCTTCCAGCTTCACATGCCTGCCTGAAGTCCTTGATTCCCTTATCGATTTTAAAAATGTTTTATCTCTGTCTTGTTGTGTCTCTGTCTCTAGAGCCCTCTGTAAAATTAATCCACCCTCTACTATCTGAGAGGGGCAAAAATCCTCCTTTTGTCTTAAATGGGTGTTCTTTTACTTTGAGCTTATACCCCTAATAATATGAGGTTTAAAAAGGTCTCTTTTCATCTAAGCTGTCATAAGTTCAAGCCCAACTTATTCAGTATACCTAGACTATACCAAAGCTTTTCTTTCCTTCGATAAGGGAATCAAAACTATTCATAATCCAGAAGTGGTCTGACTAGTGCTCAGTTTTAGCAAGACTTTTTGTATTTTTATACTACATTCCATTCTAATTAAAGACCAAAAATCCATTTGCCTTTCCTATTACCTGCTAAATTTGCATGCTAGCTTTTTGTGATTCATGCATAATGACCCCTGAATCTCTTTCCCTCCTCCCCCCACCCCCGCACCTCTTTGCAGTCTTTCCCCATTTATATAGTGTTTGGCTCCTCTCTTCCTTTACAGTGTACAACCTTATTTTCTCACATTATATTCTATGTGCCAAGTTTTTGTTCACTCATTTAACCTGTCTCTGTCCCTCTGCAGACTTTTTGTGCAATTGTCACTATTTGCCTTCCCACCTATATTTATTTCATCCACAGACTTGGCAATAGTACATTTACTTCTGACGTCCAAGTCATTGATATGTAGTAAATAAGTGGTCCAGCATGGACACCTGTTACACTCTACTAATTGCAGATTGCTACCCTGAAAATGCCCCCTTTATCCTAACTTTATCCTTCCATTATCCCATCCGGTATGATGCTAATCTGTTACCTCTGACATCTTATTGTCTGTAATCTTAATTGGGCATCTTAACAAACACGTTGTGGAAATTCAAATATATTATATCCACTGGTGCCAGATTTGTTACCACCTCAAAGAACTGTAATAAATTTCTAAGGCTTGATTTCCTGTTCATGAAGCTATGCCAGCTCTGCTAGATTTGTTATTTATTCCCAAATGCTGTGCTATTCCATCCTTGATAATCGACTTCCCATTGATGGATGATAAGCTAACTGACCAAGAGTTACCTGTTATTTTGTCTTCCTCTTTGAATAAGGGATTAATGTTTGAATAACATAGGCAGTCTTCTAATCCTGTGGGGCATTTCCCATATTAAGGATTCTTGGAAGATAATAACCAGTGCATGCACCTTCTCATAGTACTACTTTTCCATTGCTAGAATGCAGGCTATCAGAACTACTCAGAGTAGTAAGGGCGTGGAATGCCCTGCCTGCAAAAGTAGTAGACTCGCCAACTTTAAGGGCATTTAAATGGTCATTGGATAAACATATGGATGATAATGGAATAGTTTAGGTTAGATGGGCTTCAGATTGGTTTCACAGGTCGGCGCAACATCAAGGGTTCTATGTTCTAGGGCTCTTACCAGCTTTTAACTCAGATTTTTTCCCTAGTACTTTTGTGTTTGATTATTTCCACCTTCTAACCCCCCCAACCACCACCACTTTAATCATTTAGTATTTTTGGAATGCTTTTAGTGTCCAGTACTGTTGAGATTGACTTAAAGTATTTATCAATTTTTCTCCATGCCCTTGTCCCTTAGTATTATTTCCCAGCCTCATTCTCCAGGAGGTCTATGTGCAGTTTGTCCATTGTATATATTTAAATAAGCTCTACTATCTTGCTTTTCTTGGTCTGTTAGTCAGACTGCTGAGTTGCTCTTGCTAACTATTTTTTTTCTTAATCACCTTGTCCCAAATCACATTTAAGGCTCTCCAAACAAAACTTGGTCACTTTCGTTTCAATGTGAAATTAGTGCTGATGGAAATTATTGGAGCCAAAGCCTCTTGGATCATTTTCATTAAGTTCAGTGGGCAGAGTAAGACAATAGGAGAAATGGTGAAAAGTGAAAAAGGGATAAGCGAGAAGCAGGAAACGTTTAAGACTGTGTGGGAGAGGAAGAGAGGAACAGCAGGCTGAAAGAGAAGGAAACCACAGATCACAAGTCAACTCATTTCCGACCTCTACTTATTGTACCCCATCAGAGGCAACCTAAGGTCAGCATTAATTAAACCTTACTTCTTAGGTCAGCTGCAGTTGTCATTCCCTAGTGATGAATGGTGCTGATTCTTTTTCTTTACTTTTGTTTCTTGACCAAACAGTCCCTATTATTAAGCTTGACAGGCAATTTTTAATGGTAATTTCCATTAATTGCTCATCTAAATTATCAGTTCATTGTTTTGGTTTTTTTGTTAAAGATCATTTACAGTTGCAACCAATTAATCTTTGAAACTTATCCACTGTCAAGCAAAGGAAGAGTAAAGTTTAAATGTGCTCACTACGACCTCTCATGAAAAGGTGGGCAAATTCTCCTTGGAAAGGTTAAGTCAGAAGGAGATGCTGGAGAACTCCACTGCCTGCAAGTGCACCCCCTTTCCCAAACTCTCTAAGCCATTGAACATCGTGATCTGTAATTATATTGGCACTCCTTCACTATCACTGGATTTACATACTGTTACTCTCCCTAACAGCATTGTGGGTCTGTCTATGCTACGTGACTACAGAAACCCAAAGGCAATTCACCACCACACTCTTGAAGGCAATTCAAAATTGCCTAGGCCAGCATTTATTGCCAGTGATGGGCTGATCCTGTGAGCGAGTGAGTTAATGAATTAATTAATGAAAACTGAGATCAACTTGTTATCTACTGAAACATTCCTCCTTGGTAACTGGTGACCTGCCTCTGCTAATTCTTCACTCGTTCCTAGTGTATAGTTTCTTATTTTTTCAAGTGTTTTCCATTGTTCTACATTTTGTTAGCCAAAATTATCTATTTTATATTCACAAGTTCTATTTCCAGCTTATTAAAGTCAGCATTTCTTCAAACTATTAACCTGGATTTTGATATACTTGTTCCCTTTCCTATTATCTTAAGAGTATTATTATCACTTTTAGCCAGATGTTACCTTATTTTTACTTGCTTATCGGCTGTAACTCATTCCCCATTACTAGATCAAATCGCAAATCTTGCCTTGGGTTTTCTGTATTTTGGATAGAAAGGATTCCGCTGCACATTATATTAACTTTAATTGCCTTATCCTCTTCATCTATTACTTCTGTCCATTTAATAGCAACATGTCTGAATTTTTATATATTCACTCACGGGATGTGGGTGGGGTGGGGAATTGGGGACTAGGGGAGAACAAAATATTTACTGTGGATGATAAACCTTGGGGAAGATGTAACTTGAGAAGTAACTTGGACATTAGGAGTGTTTGTAAAGGCAATTAGATGAAAGCCAAGTAAACACTAGAGGGATTAACTTCAGACTTTTTCATGCTATTCTATTATTTTTCCTTGTGTTTAGATAATTGCTGGAAGTAATCCATCTTGGGTGCCTTTATATTCTCTTTTTGAGAATAAATAACTGTTGATATTACAATTTAAATTCGGAAATATTTACTCCCTTTAGTTTCTTATTTCTCAGTTTTATTAATGACTGCTTTGGCCTATCCCTATATTCTATTTCAGCTTGGTTTTGAAAAATGGTCATCTCAAATGCTTTTCTGTTTGTACTCCTAAACTCTTGAAGTAAAAGGCTTTAAAGTGAATCTCTAAGCTCTTCATCAATTATAATGTAGTGGAATTGTTTTCAATGAATTTGTGACTTCAGTTGTGTTGTCTGCATTTGACTTAATGCCATATCACTGATGTTTCATATTTTCTAAACTTGTGATTTGTTTTCTTACAGTGAAATGTTGTGGAGCTCTGCTGTAGAGCTATTATGGGCTATAAATCCATGAGTTTGAGTGAGGCAAATTAGCACTCTAATTCTATACTTGCTTAATCAACAGTTTTTGTTCTGTGATATCATAAAATCCACATGTACATTATGACACCTTTGTGCATGTACATCTATTTATATGATTCAGTTTTATACTTGTGGTTTATGATTTCACAAGCCACAACAGAATAAAACTGAATTATAACTGTTTAAAATATGTCTCTAATTGTGTTTACATGAACCTGGTTTAAGCCTACTACAAATGCATTTTATGGCACAGTAGTTCATTAAATTTAACTTGGATTTCGTATTTTAAGTCGAATTGTGAGAAATTGTGAATAAAACATGCGTAAATTGTCTGGTACTGGCTTATCTAAAGTAGATTATTTGTCTCATGATTTACAACTAATGAGTTTGCAGTTGCATAGCTTGGTTTCTTCAAAAAGTAAATAATCTTTAATTTGTCTTTCTGTGCTCTGGCCATTTTAATTTATGCCATTAAGTATGTATTTAACATTCACCTTTTTAGTTGTGGTGGGTTGTGAAAGAAGGCCAGGTGATGATGATCATTTGTTTGGCTTATCCTACCATTAAATTCTTTCTTTTTTTGGTAACCTTTTTTTGGTATATCATTGTGTGTACTAAGATGTTTTAATAGTAGTTATGTTTCCATTTGCCAGCCGTTTGATTTTTTTTTTTTTGTACAAATATAATAAGTGTAATTCTAATACCCTCTTTGTCTTTGCTGTCTTACAGGAGTGTAACTCTATTCCTCACTAGACCTGTCAGCAACAGCTAAGAAATTCAACACCAACAAATTAAGCACTGGCAGTCTTGTGGAATGCTGCTAAAAGAGCATGAGAAATAGTCAAAAGTGAAGTTAACAAGATAAATAGTAGTTGGCATCCCAGTACCTGTACGACTGGAATCCCATAATTTCGATCAGGGCAGCAAACTTAAAGGACAGAGTATTACCATTTTGTGCTGTGTGTTCTTTTTCTCCCCTTTTTGCTTTACTGCTGTCAAGTAACAACAGGGTTGGCTGTTGCCTGAAAATCCTTTTGTAAACTGAATTATACCTGCTGTACTGTAATAAAATGTTTGGGTTAATGGAAACAGCTGACTTGGCTGTTGTAGGATTTTATTTTGTTCTTGTATTATGCATTGGCTTTTTTGTGATGTGGAAGACTAACAGAAGTACTGTGAGTGGGTACTTTCTTGCAGGACGCTCTATGACCTGGATAGCAATAGGTGCTTCATTGTTTGTAAGCAATATTGGCAGTGAGCATTTTATTGGGTTAGCAGGATCTGGGGCGGCCAGTGGGTTTGCAGTGGGAGCTTGGGAGTTAAATGCAATGTTGATTTTACAGGTATTAGGTTGGATTTTCATTCCTGTCTATATCAGATCTGGTGTATATACTATGCCAGAATACCTTTCAAAACGTTATGGCGGTACCAGAATAAAAATCTATTTTGCATTGTTGTCCTTACTATTGTACGTTTTCACAAAACTTTCCATTGACCTGTATGCTGGTGCACTGTTTATCCGGGCATCACTCGGCTGGGACCTGTATCTTTCTATCGTCGTTCTGATTGCGTTGACTGCAGTGTTAACTGTTACAGGAGGACTTGTGGCTGTCATCTACACAGATGTCCTGCAGGCCATTCTTATGATTGGTGGAGCTTTAACATTGATGATCGTAGGAATGGTTAAGGTGGGAGGTTTTGAGGAGCTGAAACGACGATATATGTTGGCCTCACCAAATGTTACAGCAGTCATTGCTACTTTCAATCTAAGCGCTGTCAATGCTTGCCGCATTCACCCTAAAGAAGATTCTTTAAAGATATTACGTGAACCAACTGATGAAGATATTCCTTGGCCTGGTTTTCTATTGGGCCAAACACCAGCTTCTGTTTGGTATTGGTGTGCTGATCAAGTCATTGTGCAACGTGTCTTGGCAGCAAAGAACATTGCTCATGCCAAAGGAGCTACCCTAATGGCTGGTTTTCTGAAACTCTTGCCCATGTTTATCATAGTTGTACCAGGCATGATTTCCAGGGTTCTCTTTACTGATGAGATTGCTTGCATTAATCCAGAACATTGTATGCAAGTATGTGGCAGCAGAGCAGGTTGCTCAAACATTGCCTATCCACGACTAGCATTGGGAATCTTGCCCGTAGGTCTTCGTGGCCTAATGATGGCAGTCATGATAGCAGCTTTAATGAGTGACTTGGATTCTATATTCAATAGTGCCAGCACCATATTTACCCTTGATGTTTACAAGCATCTTCGAAAGGCTGCCAGCTCTCGTGAACTTATGATAGTAGGTCGTCTGTTTGTTGTCTTCATGGTAGCTGTAAGCATTGCCTGGGTTCCTATAATTGTAGAGATGCAGGGAGGACAAATGTACCTTTATATTCAAGAGGTAGCAGATTATCTCACCCCACCAGTGGCAGCCCTGTTTCTTCTTGGTATTTTCTGGAAGCGCTGCAATGAGCAGGGGGCTTTTTGTGGAGGGTTGGTTGGATCGGTTTTGGGAATTACACGCTTGATTTTGGCTTTCATATATCACATGCCAGAATGTGATCAGTTTGACACAAGACCAAATTTTATCAGAAACATTCACTACATGTATGTTGCAGCAGTTTTATTTTGGGCCACTATTATTACAGCTGTAGTAGTGAGTCTGCTGACCCCTCCTCCTTCCAGAGATCTGATTTGCAACACCACATTCTGGGCATTAAAAGACACAGAAATCATTGAAAGTGGTCAGAAAGAAGAATCTGATAAGTTAACAGAAAGAAGTCTGGCAAAATGTGACAGTGTTAAATGTGCAGACAGTTCTGATTGTAAGCAGAAAGGTGATGATTCATCTCCACTGACTGCTCAAATAGAATTAGTGCTGTTGATGCCTGGAAGTGGTGATCCCAAATCCGTGAGCTCTTCATGTATTGCTGAAGATCAGATACGAAATGACTGTTATGTAAATGGCCAAACAACTGCTGAGGACCAAATGAACAAAGAGGAACATGACTTGCAAAGGAAAAACATTTGGTGGCGATACTTTGATCAATGTTGTGGAATCAAAAGTTACAGTGTGAAAAAATCAGCAAAAGATTCTGTAGAAAATGAAGCTATTTGCTTACAAATGTTGCAGGAGAGTCCAAAAATTAAATTTGTACTAAATGTTGGACTTGTTGTTGTATGGTCTGTTGGCATATTCATGTTTATCTATTTTTCTCTGTGAAATAATTGTGATATTGTTTTCTTTTCCCTTGTACGTAGGTAGTGAACTTTTTTTGGTGAAGTTTGAAAAAGCTAATAGTCTAAAGGTCAGGCTATAGAATCAGAGTCACTTTGGTTAATGCATTTTTACATTTATGTTTGAATTAATCTGTTCAGTTGTAAATGATTTCAGGTAGTGTGAGACAAGCATTTGGAATCCTGTATGATGACAAGGTGTCTTCTTATTTTCTCAATGATGGCATATGCAGTTTAACATGATTGGCTGGGTGAAGTCAGAAGTGTATGGATCTCAATTAGTTTCAGATGTAGCTGTTGCAACGTGAATTCCCAAAATCAGTATGTGACCCCCACATATCTTGTAAATTAATTCTTTGTTGCAAATTAAAGTCAGCCATCTACTTCATATAACTTACAAGTTATTGTCTTGTATATAATTTAACAGTTATTGCTCGAGTTGGAGTGAAACTGCAACAACTAATAGTTGTAAGAGAATAATGTGTGTAAATTGCCGTATAAATCTCAGGTGCTTGTTTCTTTGGGAGGATGATTGCAGTACAGGATAAGGCTCATAGACTAACTTGTGTAATCTGCATTTTTAATGTTACTTGCACAGCAAACAAACCTATCGGAGCTTACCACAATTGGATTCATAAAGCACATATGTACTCCATCACCAGCACTTGGCACACACCTTTCTGAAAAAAAATTGCATGCAGTTATACTTGAAAATTGAACTATGAAAATCTAGTCACCTGATAATATGGCAGACAAAAGGTTGTCCTGCTATTTCTGAAATATCCTGTTTCATTATGGCACTATCTCTAAACTCTCTCTTCTCTCACGACTTTTCAGCTGTATACATTGCTACTCATACACCCTGCTTCAGTCTTGTTACTGCCTGCTTGTAGCACTTGGCAAGATCTTGAATCATGTTTTCTGTAACTTCAATCATAGTGTTTATTCTTTGTCATCTTGAAGCTATCACTAGAATTGCACCTGTTTGGAAGCTTCATCTTCCAGTGCTGCCTCTGTTTCCATTCAAGCCAACCTATATGCAGCAAGTGCATCTTCAAAGTGACTTGTCATCCATTTCTAAATTGTTATTCATGGAGCATCCCACCCCAAGGATGACTATTCTCTCCTGAATGAATGCGCGGTTTCGTTGCATCATCAGCTGCAAGGACAGACTTCCTTTCTTCTGTTTAATGCTGGCTGTCAACTTCACCACCATCAATTCTATCAACCCTTTCAATGCTGTCAAATTGTTTTCATACAATTAAGTGCCATAGCTTTACTCCACAAAGCTGGGGAAAATGCTGAACGTCAGTGTCTTGGATATCTGCGCTAAACTTTTATTCCCTTGCTACTGATTCCATGTATCTTCTGGACATCTGTAACTTTGGGTTATTGTTTAATCCTGAGCAGAGCTTTAAAGTCCACATCCTTTACATTTATTGAGGATTCTTACATCCTCATATGCAACATTTCACATCTTTGGCTCCTATGGCTGGTAAAGCCCTTAATTACACTTCCTTTTTTTTTGTAAACCACTCCAACATCCTTGTTGGTCTGCTGTGCTCCGATTATGACTAAGTTACCTAAAATCCTGCAATTTATAAAAACTAAAAGAACAACAGATGCTGTAAGTCAAAACAAAAATAGAAGTTGTTGGAAAAGCGCAGCAGGTCTGGCAGCATCTGAGAGTTGTGGGTCCAGTGACCCTTCCTCAGAACTTGCAATTCATGTTTGTTCTGCACTAAATCCCATCTATCCCTCTCTCCCAACTTAATGAATGTCAGTGACCCTGCGTCCATCCCCTCACACCCTGCCATCTCCCACTGAATCCAATACCATTGTAGGTTCTTGGCCCACCCTGCAATTTCTTACAGTTTTGTAACTCCTAAAAATTCAAAACTCCTTTTTTATGCTTTTTAAAAAAAACTAAATGCAGCCCGTCTTTGCATTTGAGTAGTTGATTTAGTACTCCAACATGAACCACAGAATTCAAACAAACTGAGCTATTTGTATTGTAGGACTATGATTTCTTATTGTCTCCTAAGTTCTGTTTATGCCACAAGTTTCAGATTTTATGGTTTAAATATACTTAAACTAAGATTTAACTGTTGGGGTGTATTCCACTTAAAAAGAAACGAAATATTGCTTTGAATTATTTAGTATCGTGACTTCTTTGCCAACTCAGTTGTCTGCTGTAAATTCAAACTCACTTCTACAGCTGGAAAAACAATACTGTCAAGACAGCAGTTAAGGCTAAGCCTAGTAGACTATATTTGCACAATTCTAGTTTACAGAAGCAAACAAATTGAGTGGAAGAAACAGCTTTATAAAATCATCTTGAATGTGGCTAAATATCCAATTTTGTAGGTTTTGGCAGTTGTGCTGTGGACATTTTTTTTTCACTATACAGAATTTTGTTTGACTATGTGAAATCAAATGTAGTTTTAACCCTAATGATTAGTACACGTTCAGTAATTGTGCAGTTTGAATTTCTCCCTTTTAATGGGAACAATTTTTTTCAAACTTGAATTTGTTTTCCGGGAGTGACAATCACAATTGAATGAACCCTTTGTAATTTCTATGATACAGTTAGGCACTAATTTTTTCACTTTTGTAGCGTGGTTGTAGTCTAATCTTATGGCTCAGATTGGCAAATATCCAATACTGTCACACTTTGTGCTCAAGAGTTGGGAAAAATGAATTGAAATGTATTTTTCTTGTAACTGAGTCTTGTAGATGGCAGGGCGGGGCAGGTGCGGGTTGGTGATGGTGTGTGAGAAACACCAAACTAAAATGAAATGAAAGCTTGGAACCAGCAAATATTAGAACCATTCTTTCAAAAATTATTGTTCAGTCTTAGGGTGTCTGGCAACACAATGAAAATTGATGGATAGATGAATGGAACTGTCTTGTGAAATAGCTAAATTTGGTATATGTGAAGGCCAAGATAAAGAAGCATCAGAATACACTTGTTATGGACAGGATATTCTCAGGCACCAGGTATTGTTTAATTTCATAGCTATGGAGCAGAAAACCTAAGGGGCACAACATTCCGTTTTTCCTACTGCATTTTGAAGATTTACTAAAACCAAACTTGTATGGTTTTGAAGCTGCCAGTACTGTTGTGGTTGAAGTGTGTGTATGCTTTTCCATTTTTTTTAAAAAGAAATTGATGTTGAAACGATATAACTATTTGGAACCCTGCACTCTCGTTAACATACAGGGAGGGATTAGAGTTATAATTCTATGCAAATAACATTTTGATTGTCGAATTTAAATATCAGTGCTAAATCTTTTTTTGTTATATATATATATTCTGAACAGCTTTGCTTCTGTTAACCCCAGTCAGTTTGAGGGCTGTAATGCATTGCAGAGCCTCTGAGTCAATATGAATGAATTGGATTGAGAGTGCTGAAAATGGTGCAGAAGAGAAACAAGTGCTTGATTGTGCTTTAAGTGTTTGATTTTGGATTTTGTGGACTTGTCTTTTCAACTTGGAAATCTCAAAGAATTTGAGGCTTGAATGCTAATGCAGTTTGTAAGAAGTGCAACAATGGGAGTGAGCTTTGACTTACTATGAAATGACCAGTAGCACGTTAGGGAAGTCAGTTGGACCTGTATGAACTTTTTGGGGTAGAGGGATTGAAGCTGAGCAAGAGGATTAAAGGTTTGACCGCTGTTGGTTCTGGCTGATTGTATTGAAAGTGTTAATATGAATGAATTTGGAATGGAAGGGCAGATCTTGAGGTCTTGAATATTTGTGCTGTTGTAGAAATTTCACTTCCTCTTCACCCACCCCCATCATGCTGAAGGAACATCAGTAGCCAGGATCCTCCTTTGTTTACCTCCCATCTTAAAACTGGATTCTGTGGTTGCATTAAACTGAGGAGTAAGGTGATGTCTAATAATCCAGAATTATTGCCACAACTGTATCAAACCAAGGTGGCAGAAGTGGGCTTCTGCTAATGTTTATATGTCGAGTTTTGCCAAAGCCTATTTTAGCTAATGCTAACTAGCAACTCTTTTCTTCCCCTCCTCATTTGACTGTACAGAAATCTCATTAATAACTGTTTGCTTCCTTGGTGGAAGAGAGACGCTGCAGGCAAGCCTAATTTGGTTGGCCAGCAGCATAATGCCAAGAAACCATGCTCCTTCATAACCTAATGCTGTTATATTTATTGCCTCATTAGTAATTTTTCTGGCTGCAATTCATGACTGAAGCTGTCAATGAGTTACACTAAACTGACTTTTCCATCACAAGGGTATGCTTTATTTCCCATCCTGTTTGTCTAAGTCTTTAAGAGAGCAAAGATTTAGTTCTGTGATTGAGATGCAGCAAAATCCAGCTGTTTGTATACTGCTGATTACGTTATGCTGAAAGATAACTACAGCAAGCAGTTTGTTCCATGAGAAGATAATAGTATGGTGATTCCATGTAATGATGAGTAAAAGAGAAAGTTGTTTATACAAGGCACTGTGGTCTAAACATAGATAATTAGCACAGTACACTGCAGGTGATGTCATTTTAAGTAATAAGTATTTGCTTTAATTTACTGTTTTGGAAGGGTGTGCTTAATCTCTGATCTATTAAAGGTAATCCTCCTGCACTTTCAGACGATTGCAACTCCTTTAGCTTCTTCCCTGTATTGCCCTCCATAGAACTTTCTCTCTCTCAAACGATGCCTGTCCATTGTCTAACCTCAATTCAGATTCTATACCATTTATACTCTGATTCATATTTCAGTTCCGTATTTTCATCAAATAATTTCTGTATTGCATTCAAAACTGACTTTTGTTCTGTGTGCCCCTTTTAAGCTGCTGCACATCTTTGAGGATCCCCATACAAGCAGCCTCTCTGTTTGAGGCCAACCAACAACTCGAACTCTGCTAATTTATGCGAGGAACTATAGTGAGGTAAAGGTTTGAATGGCAGTCTGTTGTGCCACACTTGAGCCATGATCACTAGCCCAAACAAAGCCTGACTTAGTGGACCCACCACTAAAATCAAATAACTGAGTAGAAACTGGTGATTGTAACCTGGACCCTGTTATTGTTACTGTGCTATTCTCAGTCCATTTTGTCTAAGAAATCTACCTGGATTTTTTTTTTATTAAAAAAATCCTGTGTTCATCTGGGAAATTCGATTTGTATTACTCTCTGGGGAATTCTTAAAATCATAAGTTCAGATTGAAGGACTCTCTGTCCCTCAGATCATGGTTCCCAGTTTGATAGTAAAGACTTGCACAATATTCAAATGCAGAGTCTGTGAATCGAGTGATAGTGTACTATTTTCTCCATCACACAGGTTCTATTTACATATTGGCATGGTCCAGGTGTGTAATTTGCATGCAGATTTTTCATTGCTACATTGATAATGTTGACTGTGTCTAACTGCTTCAGTCATCTTGTCCCTAAACTCCTTATTGGGTAAATCTGACTCAGCATTTTGAGGAAAAATGAAATATTTTTAGACAAATTTTCAGAACCCCGTTGTGGTGAGTCCAGTTAAGGATCCAATAAGATGTTTTTGTGTGAGCATTTCATGGCCCTGTTTGGCTTTGCTTGCTGAATGCACTTCAACCCGAAGCATGAATATCAGATGGAGCCATGGTGATATACAATTTTTTAACCAGGAGGAGATTGAACACATTGGTCTCAGGTAAGGCAGAGCATCTCTATTTTTATGAAACAGAACCTTTATGAGCATGGGGACAAGTTTTCCCATAAATTTTGGCTTTTTATTAACAAAACAATCTCTGATTTAGGAAGTGAAAATGACTTCTAAACGTACCTGCACCAATGGCCTCCTCCTGTCAGCAGCTGCATGCTGTCCAGCTCAAGATTATGTTGGTTATGTGGGTTGGGGAGAGGAAAAAAAACTAAATACAAGTTGTTTACCACGTGAATTAGTGATCCATCTGGATCCAAATCAAAGTGATTATTGTAGCTGAGTAAACAAGGTGTAGAGCTGAATGAACACAGTAGGGCAAGCAGCATCAGAGGAGCAGGAAAGCTGATGTTTCGGGCCTAGACCCTTCTTGCTGAGTGGTTGTCAATGTAGTTTGAATCTAAATTAACTGACTAAATACCTTGGATGCAATTGTTCCTATGTTCAGAGATATTTGTTCTATTTGGTAGTGGGGGAGTGGGGAAAGAGAGTGGCAGGGGAGTATCATCTTGATTTATGTTGCTCCAATATTGCTGGTCAAACCTAGGCAGCCAGATGCTTGGTGAAAATTTGGATGGTGAAAGTATGGGATGTAAGCAGATTTTCTGGAGATTGGGGGACAATTTAGACCTAAATTGCTTTTTGCCAAACTGTTAATGGATTCTGCTTTAGTTGAAAACATCTATAAACTGGAATCGAAGTAGGAATGTGTTTAGTGATTTACATTTTGCTTGGATGCCTTTGGGTAGTAGCTTGTGGAAGATGCCACGCAAGAAAGAGAATGGATTACTCCATACTTCCTGTATATTCTAGTACATCATTAAATTTTACTGTTCAGCCCACAATGTCTCCTATTGACAAATGAGTAAAATCCCTTAGATTATCATACTGTGTACTGCTGCCAGATAATACTGAAAGGTCATTCGGTTCTGCAGGGTTGATCTTGTCGCTAATCTCCTCACTCACTACATAAAATCTTTGAAATCAACAAGAATAACATGCTTTTAGTTATGTATCAACGTTTTAATCATTGGTGATGCATTATTCATTAATGGATTTAAAACTTTTATGGAGTGATCTAACAATGAGGGGCTAACTTTATCCACTTTTGCCTGTAAATGCAGTTTCTGAATTGGGATATTTAAAATATTTTTGTTTGCATAGATTTGCTTCTCTGGATTTATCTGGCACACAAATTCAGATCTTCAAGAATGTGTGGGTTGTACGAAGGACTTCAGTTTAAAGGAACTTGACTTGCAAGATTGTTACAGTGAATTCTATAAGATGAGGAAAATAAAATAATCAGAGGTCTGTGTCCATCTAATTATGCAGAAGTGCTGTGAAAGGCAATGCACATCAGCCCACCATTCCATCAGCTTTAATTTCAAACTTTTAAATGTTTTAAAACATCTTAATTTTACTCTAATCAACCTCTAGTAACAAGCTGTGTAACAAGTTTAGTGTGACCATTTAAGGTTATAGGTTTTTTTTTTTATAAAGTCTAAAACCGTACTTTAAGACTTGTGCATTTTGGGGTTTATAATTATCTACAGGTCTTCTGTAGAAAACTAATTTTACTCAAGCATAATTTTTATCTAGATATATGTAACCTTCTAAATTGCAATCTACAATAATTATACAGTGCTTAAGTTGATTTGATAAGGCTGTAGATGTTCATATCTTGGTTTCATGTTACTTGATTGTAATATCTGCATAAATAGTTATTGATGCTGTAGTCCGTACAAAATTATGGCTAAGAATGTTTTATTGTCGATGCAACTGAAGAACTTGGATTGTGAGGGAAAATGCATGAAGGGACCATATTTGTCAAAGTTTTGGAAATTACTTGCATAATCTGCTGCCTTTGGTATTCCGTAACCAAT